GTTCACAAAATTCTTTAGCAATTAATATTTTGCCAGAAATTCTTTGAAAAAGAGTTATTAAAACCCTTGATTTTTTAACAGGAATTTTATTAAAAAAATTCAATTGTGGTTTTACAATTGTTGATTTGCTTTTTAAAATCCATAACTTTTTATCAAGAGGTAATTGAGAAGGATATCTATAAGAGTATGCTTTTTTCGTTCGGAAAGACCTGCAAAATCAAAATATTAAATATTTTATTTATTTTTTATCACAGGGAAATTTGAAAAATATTCTTAAAAACCCCATATTCAGGAGTTTTAAAAGAAAAAAAAATTTATAAAGTCAATTATTCTTGACCAAATCCTTTAAACAATCCAGGACTTTTGAGTTTTGGAAAGACTTTTGTTTTTTTTTATACGCTCTACCATACTATGGAGGGTATATTAACTTTGTCATTCCGTTTGTAACTCCTCGAAATACTCATGTCAGACCCAACAAAGTATATATATTTTTGATCAGCGTAAAATTCTAAGTCGATTTAGCCATGTCCGTCTGTCTGTCCGTCTGTCTGTTGTAATCACGCTATCTTTCGAACGAATTGAGATAGAAGGCTAAGGTTAAGGCAGGTTAAGTTCATAAATGGGCCATGTAGGTCCACGTTTTCATATAGCCCCATATAAGGGTAACTCCCGAAATTCGGTATTTTGATGATTTTAGCGACAATATTCACCGGAATTGTTTCAAATTTGTTATTTGATGTTCGAAATGGATACTGCAGCCTAAGACAGAAAATCGTCTGTGCAGGTATTTTGATGATTTTAGCGTCATTATTCACCGGAATTGTTTCAAATTACGTATTTATAGTTCGTAATGGGAAATGCAGCTTAAGACAGAAAATTGTCTGTACAGGTCCCCGTCTTCGTTTAGCACCCATATGCCAGTTGCTCCCTATATTCGGTATTTTGAAGAGTTAAGGTACAATAACCACCGAAATTGTTTGGGATGTCGTATATTAAGTTCGTAATGGATGCTACCGCCAGTGACAGAAAATTGTCTATGCAGGCCCAGGTCTTCGCACAGCTCCCATATGACTGTACCTCTCTATATACGATATTTTGATGATTTTAGCTACATTATTCACCGTTTACTTCAAGTTTCGAATTTGAATATGATAATGACTTATAACAAACAATGCCAAGGAAGGCCCATGTTGCATAGGTACCAATATAACGGCTTTATTCGGTATTTTTAATATATTAATTTTTTAAGGATTTTATTTCCAAATTCGTTCCAAATGGTGGACTGTATTCAAAGTTCGGCCCGGCCGAACTTACTGCTTTTTAACTTGTTAAGAAACAATTTTTGATAAGTTTGTCTTTGCTAACGTTTAAAAAAAATCTTAATTTTTGTCAAGTAACAGAATCCAAGATTTGGATCAGGGGATCCTAAAAAAAACTGAAACAGTCTATGGCTTTTGTCATGGAACTTTTAGTAAAATGTATTCTCAAAATAATTACAAGTTATACATATTATCAAACAATTCAGGAATATTTTAGGAGATTGTTCAAAAATGTTTTAAAACTATACTTGGTCAGGAGTCTTCCACAAATTATGCCATTTTGATATCTATTCTTGACTAGGATTTCTTCAAACTTTTCTTAGCTTTTATTTAGGTGATCCTTATTTTTAATTTTTTTAACCAGAAGAGCTTCAAATAATTTTTAGGAGTGGGTTGAGTTTTTTGATCCAATAGAGTCCCCCTAAACAATCTACTATTTTTTGTTAGAACGTCCTTAAAACTGGGGATTTTAATCCACTAGGGGTACTAAATAGTTTACAATTTTTTGTTAGGTCGTCCTTGAAATTTGGGTTTTTAATGCACTTTTTATTTCAGCAAGAGATCCTTGAAAGAAACCATAAAATTCATTATAAATTTTTAAAAAACCCATGAGTCCTTCAAACATTTGACTCATCTTTATCGGAAGGTTCTTGCAAAAATATTTTTTAAAATCCACGCCTCTTGTATAGGTATGGAGGTCCTTGTATTTTTTTTAGTATACATTTCTTGGACAGAAGTACTTGATATGGTTGACGTTGTAAATACTTTCTAAATTCCCGATTTTTAATGACAACATCCTTGCAAAGACCAAAATCTAAAATTTTTCACGATTTTTAATAAAGGGGTCCTTGCATTTTTTTTAGATGTAAGAAGTTTCTTGCATTTTTAAAAATTCCCTCCTCTTGTAGACAAGAGATCCTAGAAAGTTTTCTTAAAAATCGACAACTTTTTTCACGAGGACATGTACAAAATATTTAATAAAACTCGCTATCCGTAGATTTTTTTAAAATTCCATTTAATTTTATTCATCATTTAATCCACGATTTTTGTAAAGAAAGTCGAGCGCAAATATTATTTTTTTTTATATTTTTTCTTTATAATCAAAAATATTTTTCAAGGGGCTTTGAAATTCTTTGAAAAAAAAAATGGCGGGACTTTGCCATTTTTCTGAAATAATAAACGATCTTCATCAATTGATCCTTGTGAAGAATTCTTGAAAATCCTATCGTTCTTTTTTAAATCAAATTGTGTTTATAAATAAAAATTTGCCGCCATTCATTTATGTCATTTTTTAACCAATTTTTCCATATCAATTGTATCTTTTCGAAATTTCGAAAGGTGCAAAAAAAAAAAAAAATCCACGAATCTTTGCAAGGAACCTTTTTATTTTTCTAAAATTCAGAAGTCTTCGAAAAGGTTTTCCTAAAAAGTACACAGGTCATAAATACTTGCCCATGGAATATTCACCACTTTTGCCAAGAGACCCTTGAAAGAACTTATTTAAAAAAATCTCTCGCGTCGTTGAAAACGTTATAAAAAGTCCATTCCGTAAAAAATCCACCATTCCATTTAGTACTGTTTTTTGCGACATTATTTATTTCTCATAAAAAATCTAAGATTCCTTGAAAACTTTTTCCTAAAAAACTCAAGGGTCCCTTAAAAGATAAGATCTTTAATTATTTTTTAAAGTCCCCACCATCATTGAAACCTTGTTTTCTAAAAAGAATCATGGCTCATTCAAAGGGAGGTACCAGAAAGAGTGAGCCGATATATTCCATCTTAACACCAGACTTTGGGTTAATCAAAATAATAATGGGATGTGTGAAATTTGAGGACAATCGGACTCTTACATGACATTTTATAAGAGTTGTAATTATTCAAATTATTTATTTAATTATTCAAAATTTTGACCCTTTGAGGGGGATGTACTTAATAGAGTGGACTGATTTTATCCATTTTTGCACTTCGATTTGAATTAATGCAAATATTAGGATTTGCAAAGTTGGAGTAAAATCGGTTTATCGTTTCTCTTTCTGTGCGGGAGGTACCTGAAGGAGTGGATCAATATATTCCATCTTCACACCAGACCTTGGATTAATAAAAGAATTGGGATGTGTGAAATTTGAAGACAATCGGACTCACATTTTATAAGAGTTGTAATTATTCAAAATGTTGACCCTTTGTGGGGAGGTACTTAATGGAGTGGACTTATTTTTGCACCTGACCTAGATCTGACGTAAATATTAGGATTTGCAATGTTGGAGCAAAATCGGATTATCGCATCTCTTTCTGTGCAGAAAATATATATATTTTTTTTGAAAATTTCGACCTTTTGTGGGGGAGATATTGCCCATCTCCGAACTCGATCTAAGTTTGACAAAAATATTACGATGTACCATGTTTGGGCCAAATCGGACAATCCCTTCCAGAGTTGTCATGCGCACCAGCCAGCCAGACAGACCGTTGTTTCGAGTAGGCACGTTTTGACCGTATCAAATGATATACAGGGTGAGATGAAAAAACTGCAACCAACTTCAGATTGCTGTCATTTCCATCCAAGCCACTCGTCCGACAGCTGTTAAAATTATTCCGACGTCAAGGGAGTGGACGGAAGAAAACAGCAATTTCAGCAGAAATGGTTCGAAAAGTAAAGAAGCGACTTGATCGAAACCTGCGTCGAAGTGGCCGAAAAATGGCTCGTGAGCTGAACATATCGCAATATTCCATTCGGCAAATATTGAAAAAAATGAGCTGAGGGTAAAGCCATTGAAATTCCAAAAAGTGTAAGAACTTGCACCGCAACACAAAGGAAATAGAATCAAAAGAGCTAAAGAGTTGCTTCGCTTGGCCGAAAGTGGTGAACTGCCGAATTTGGTTTTCTTTAATGGGAAATAGTGTTTACTTGCCAAAGAGGTTAGCTGAAAATGTGCAGTTTAGGTAGGCCATCGGAACTCTAGCGCCGGCCATGGGGATAGTGTGGGCCGCCATAACAGCCGATGGTCGATCTCCGCTCGTATTAATTGAATTCCAAATATTATCTCGAAAATATTCTGGAGGGTGTATTAAAGCCTTTTTGCCGCCGAATTTGGGCATTCCAGCAGGACTCAGCACGCGCCACCCAAGAATGGTTACAAAATGAGGTTCCTCGCTTCATTTCCAGCGCACAATGGCCACCAAAATCTCCGGATACCAATCCGTTGGACTATTGAGTCTGGAGTATTTTCGAAAGCAAGGTTGGCACTAAAAAATACCAAAGTGTCGATCAAGCAAGCGTTTCGCCGGGAATGGACCAAAATACTGCAGAGAATCATTCGGACAGCGTGTGACGGTTTCATTGGCCGTTTGAAAGCCATAATTCGTGCCAAAGGTGACCAATTCGAACAAATTTAAACTTAATCTAAAATTTGATGCTTTCATTCAATAAAATTAAAAAAAAATAAAAATTATGGCGTTTGGCTTTGTTGCATTTTTTTTATCTGAACCTGCATACCTAAACTTTCCTCTTTAAACTTCAAATACTTCCTACTTACATATATTTGAAAAAAAAATCCATTCAAATCCATTCATTCAATTTTTTTTTTATTTTGCTTTCCTAAATGTATCAGTGTGTCATCACAACATAATATGTATTTTGTAAAACAACTCTTGTCAATAATATCTCACATTTTATTATATTTACAGATTTGCAGATGTGTGTCATTATTTGCAAATTTTCAAATTTTCAAACACACTTAGACATACACCATCCAACCAACCAACCGAGTGCCACAAATAGATAAGACGCGGATGCGGTAAGTGGGTAATTAAACACGTCGTGTGTACGGTACTTAACTAAGTGCGGCGCAGTTTATCTAATATTCATATTTTTTCTTGTTCTCCGTCATTGTCCTAAACCATAATTATCAGCTATTGTGTTGAGAAGATTTTATTTTCATCTTCTTTTCGGATATTTATCACATTTGGTTACATGACCCAAGTGTGGCCTCCTTCAATACACCATTTGTGTGTGAGTATGTCGTGCAATGGGCTTACAGTGTTTATGTGCGCACGTGTGGCTGTGGCTGTGAGTGAGTGTGAGTGTATGACTGCGTGTTTAACATCTAAGTGAAAACTAATTATCCTCTATGTTTCCTAGTTAGTTTGCTTTGTTTCAATGGCCATAGATTTAATCGCATTACACTTAACAGCCAACAGCTTTCATAAGATATTTTAATTGTCATGTCTGAGGCAGACCGACGTATAATAATGAGGGATAAATATTAAGGCTTTTAGTTGAGGTAAGCATATAATGTAGTACCAAGTACTTGAAGGCATGCAAATGTGTTGAATATAATCGTTCTGCATAGAATGTGGTCAAGGATCGTCAGATGAAATAATTTGTTTTGTCATGATTCCTAATTTTATGGGTGATTGGGAAATAAGCTAAAGATAAACAAGTAAAAAAGCAGCTAAGTTCGGCCGGGTCGAACTTTTAATACCCTCCACCATTTGTAAGGAACTTGAAAATTTTCAAAAACAAAAAAAAAAAAACACTACAAAAACAAAACTTTGCTGTGAAAAAGATCTGCCAATAGACCTTGAGTCGAACCTGGAGAGTTTCTAGTGTATAATTCGCATATGCTAATTTACAATAAGTTGGAAATATATACTACTTTCCAGAGAACGGCCCTTGTAAGCCATCATCCACACCAAATATGCCTGATGAGCCGCTTACCCAACGGCGAAACGCGTCGCATAGTGGTGAGTGTGTGGTGAGTGTGATAGTACCCATTACGAACTTTAAATACGAAATTTGTTACAATTTCGGTGAACAATGTTTCACAAATCATAAAAATTACGGAGTATTGGGCGGTACCGTCATATGGCGGCTATACGAAGACGTGGACCTGCATACAAAAAATTTTGTCATAGGCTGTAGCACCCATTACGAACTTCAAATACGTAATTTGAAATAATTCCGATAAATAATGTAGCTAAAATCATGAAAATACCGAATATCGGGAGGTACCATTATACAGGGTTGCCCATATTCGACGGACCCATCTGGCAACGCCATAACTTTTGACAGAGATGTCACATCGCTTAATGACATACCGCGTTTGAAGCGTCAGTCCAAGCAGATTTTTACCATGAACCAATACACGCCATGCTAGCGCTCTGAAATAGTTGAAATTTACATTCAACAGAAGAAGTCAATTGTGAAAACTCAACGTGCTTTTAAAAAATGTGAGAAGTGCGCCTTCTAAGAACACCATTAAGCGTTTATACGAAAAATTTTCGACTGGTAAGGCTCTTTCTAATCCGAAGAGGCCATAGTCGACCAAGACGATCGACCGAGAATATCGCTGCCGTACGAGCCAGTGTTGAGAGGTCCCCAAGAACATCCCAAAAACGCCGTTCTCAGCAGTTGGGCATGGCTCGGTCCACTTTACATCGGATTATTCGCATTGATTTGCATTTGTTCCCGTACAAAATTCAATTGACGCAAAGAATGTTGCCAGCGGACAAGCCTCGTCGATTGGAATGGGCCAAAAAAAAAAAACATGTGTCCGTCGACCCTGTACAGGAGCAATACGAATACGTGAACCTGCATAAGAAATTTCCCCCCCTAGGTTGTAGTAACCATTAACAACTCCCAATACGTAATTTGAAACAATTCCGGTAAATAATGTTGCTGAAATCATCAAAATACCAAATATCGCGAGCTACCGTTATGTGGGGGCTATACGAAGACGTGGACCTTCATACAGAAATGTTTTTCATAGGCTGCAGTAATCATGAAAATACGGAATATCGGGAGGGGGCTATACGAAAACGTGGACCGATATCGTCCATTTACAAAACTTAACCTGCCTACTGGTAAACTATGCATGTATGCAAATTTTTAGCCTTCTATCTCAATTCGTTCGAAAGATAGCGTGATTACAACAGACACACGGACAGACAGACATACAGACGGACATCACTAGATCGTCTTAGTAGAATATCGTAAATATCGTGATATCTACTCGTAGCAGACTACGAATTTTGAGAAATTCAGAATATTGATGCAAATTTAATCATATGCAAGGAGCTCATTTGGATTTCTTCCTGAGGAGTAGTTCTAATGCTCTGGTAATGGTGTCGGTGACCTCAAGTTCTATTGACTGCGAGCCCATCCTTGCCAGTTCATCGCCATTCTCATTTCCTTTCCAATGTACTTCTTCATTTCAATGACCAGTCACAGCAAAGCCAGCGAGCTGGGCGCTGACTTTTCAGAGCCAATCTATATCTTAGGACTGCTTCAGATTTGATCGTGGAATCTTATCGTAGTCTTAAGAACAGCTAGATTATCCACATAAAAAGGTGACAGGTTAAGTTATTTCATTTTCCATGGTTTTGAACATGTCTGCTGTCTTTCTGATCGCAAAGACGACCGCATAAAAGCACTGCCCCCAATACCAACATGTAAAATTATCAGCTCCTTCCCTTTACCCAAAATGGAATTGTACTAAATTTAGTAGCATTTAGTACAGTTCTGACATTTAGTACCCATTTCAAGCATAGACCGCAATTCCAACATATTAAACTTCCAGATCAATCCATTCAATTAAAGCCAACTTATACCGATTTTAGTACCCTTTAAGACAGTTGCCATATTTGGTACATAATCCTAATTTATATCAACATGACTTAATTTGTATACCAAATGTCACAATTTTAGCTGTATCCATTCACAAAATACAAATTCAGGGTGAGATGAAAAAAGTGCAACCAACTTCAGACTGTTGTCATTTCTAAGCCACTCGTCCGACACCTGTTAAAATTATTCCAGTGACAGTTCATTATATTCTTTACAAGCATACAAAAGCATTTTGGTAAGAATCTTCCGGAAAAAAAGTTATTCTTGATGGAATTCAAGCGTTATAGTGTGATTTCTTTATATTTGACTGGAAAACCACAAGTGGCTATCGTTAGAGCACACCAGCATTTAAATGTTAATAAATCTTTCGTGTCTCGTACCATCGCTCGTTACAGTGATACTGATACCGAAGTGGACGGAAGAAAACAGCAACATCAGCAGAAATGGTTCGAAAAGTAAAGAAGCGACTTGATCGATCCCGTGTCACATTGGCCGACAAATGGCTAGTGAGCTGAACATACCGCAATATTCCATTCGGAAAATATTAAAGAATGAGCTCCGGGTAAAGAAATTGAAATTCCAAAAAGTGCAAGAACTTACACCGCAACAGAAACAAAATAGATTCAAAAGAGCTTAAGAGTTGCTACGCTTGACCGAAAGTGGTGAACTGCCGAATTTGATTTTCTCCGATGAGGAAACATTCGTTGTCCAGCAGTTTGTAAAAAAAAAAAAATCGTGGTTACTTGCCGAAGAGGTCAGCTGAAAATGTGCACCTTCGGTTGGCCACCAGGGCCATGGTGATGGTGTGGGCAGCCATAACAGCCGATGGTCGCTCTCCGCGCGTATTAATCGACCGTGGCGTCAGAATAAATGCCAAATATTATCGCGAAAATACTCTGGAGGGTGTATTAAAGCCTAGGGCACGCAAACATTTTGGCCGCAGACCTTGGACATTCCAACAGGATTTTGCATAATCGCACTTAGCACGCGTTACCCAAGAATGGTTACAAAATGAGGTTCCTCGCTTCATTTCCAGCGCTCAATGGCCACCAAAATCTCCGGATACCAATCCGTTGGACTATTGTGTCTGGAGTATTTTGTAAAGCAAGGTTGGCACTAAAAAATACCAAGGTGTCGATCACCTCAAGCTTCGCCGGGAATGGGCCAAAATACCGCAGAGCAACATTTGGGCAGCGTGTGATGGTTTCATTTGCCGTTTGAAAGCCATAATTCCAGCCAAAGGTGACCAATTCGAACAAATCTAAACTTATTCTAAAATTTGATGCTATTTCCGACATTTTTTGCTTTCATTCAATAAAATTAAAAAAAAAATGTAAAAATTATGGCGTTTGACTTTTTTGCAGTTTTTTATGTCACCCTGTAAGTTCTACATTAGTGCGTTTTAGTACTTTTAGTACACCCCTAGTCCGCATTTCTAAATATTCAGTCTCATATCACCCCTACAAACCAACATTGATCCACAGGCAACATTTTAGCCGTTTCAGTGAAACTCAAACATCTGGTCAAGTAAACTCGGCCTACAGTTTTTTAACCAATTCTCTCAATTGCTAAGTGTTTTTTTTTCAGTGTCGTTAAAAACTCGATTTTATCCCCTTTGAATGGTTTGAAAAGTTATTTTTTGTTCACATGTTAATCATATCTTAATTCTCCCCAAAAACGCTTTAACATATTTAGGCCAATTTAATCTCAAATTTCGTCATCCATACCCCAAAAAAAGGAGGACATTGTGAATTGTTATCGCTATATTAACATTGTGCTAGCTATCCCAAATGCTATCGAATATAAATGTTATTGCTATAATGTTCCTTGTTTGTTTGTTTGTTTGATTGGTTTTCCTCCATTCACTCGATATCGGATTACCCATCGAATTGTTCAATTTAAAATGTCGACATTTTGTGCGTACTCGCAAAAACAGCAACAACAACAATAAAAAAGGCGAAAAACGACATTTGTCTCAATCAAAACTAAATCGCTTGCAATTAACAGAAGTCACATTTGATAGCGACAGCAGCCGAGAGTGTCTTTGATGGATGTTCTCGACCGTGGCTAAAGTATTTTAATTGCTTTCATTCTCAGCGTTTATGATCCAACGGAGACTCTGGAGGAGCCATTGTAGAGAACGAGAAGGTGTGGAATATCACCATCGGA